TCGTGGTAGAGGTACTCTTTGGGCACTAGGGGAAGAGGCGTGTCCCTTACCTTTCCCCTTGCTGCTGGTTGGTGCTTTCTGAGTTGGGGCTTCACCCCTTGCCATGCCCATCAAAGCATCAGCCAAGGCAAGAACACCAGGATCTGCGGAAGATGAGGAAGCAGTCCCAGATGGGGGGGTCCCACCCTGGGATGCTGCATCATCATCTGAACTGGAAGCTGCAGCAGCAAACAGGGCACCCTTCCTCCTTCTTCGCCCCTTTCAGGAGGGTCCCTTCCTTCCTTCAGAAGGTGCTTCCTGAACATGGAGTTTGGACTCCAAGTCCAGCGCTGCTCTGCCAAAGGACCGTCAGTCCTTGTGGCCCTGAGAGAATAAGGCAAGTTGGAATTGCTCAGGCGCTGCCCTGAGGAAATGAATGAGCAGATCCAGTGCACTCATCTGCAACCCAGGAGTCGATGTCAGACTCTCAAAGGTGGAATACAGTTTGGACAAGGAGCCATCAAACTTTTTCTGGCCCAGGCGCATAATTTTGTCTGCTGCTTTTCTGGCCTGCTCCTTGTCTGCAAACCGGTCCTACAACGCCTGCAAAAATCCAGCCACCCCCAACCTTTGCGTCCAATCAGACATCTCCATTCCTTGCTTGCTGGGGGTAGAGGTGCACCATTTCAGTGCAGTCCTCTCCAAACGAACAAGGATGGCTGACACTTTCACATCCTCGTCACATTTGAACCCACTCAGGTAGGTTCTTTGTGCAGTGACCCAATCTGCAACATCCACCTTAGGGTCCTCGCCAGAGAACATGGGTGGAGGGGTCAGCCTGGGCCGCTGCTGATCAAATGAAATTGGGGGCTGTGAAGCGGCTGTTGACTTGGGTGTAGAAGATGGGGATGTGGGTCTGGATTGTGGGAGTTGTTGAGGGCCTGCTTGAGAAGGCCCAAGGGATGGAGGCAAGGTCAGGGTGGTAGGGATCTTCAAATGACTAAAGATCTGGTCCAGTTTGGCAGAGATGTCATCCAACTTTTTGGAGAAAGCTGAATGACTGCTCCCCAGACTGGTAATCCGGGGGCCCGCAGTTCAGCTTCTGAAGGGTCAAGCGGAATCTGAGGCTTCGCCTCAGAAGCCTCTCCCTTCCCATCATCTGCCATTTTGATTTCCCACAATTCAGATAGATAAAAACAAACAAATAATTAGAGACAAACAGGAAGATGCAGTAATTGAGTTTTCTCTGTAGTACTCACTCAGTTGTTGCCACCTGCCTGGAGAGAGAAGGTTGGTTAGTCTAACAAGTGAGTGCTCAGTCTCAACAGACCGCTTGAGGGTCAGGGTCAGTTTAGAGTACACTCAACAAAAATCCATTTCACGATTTTCCCATCACTGCCCTGAACCAACAATTGCACGCAATGATTGAAAATCCGACATCAATAACTAACAGGATGCAGTCTTGGACTGATTAGTGTTGATAAGTAGTTAGACACAATGACTAATTAGGGTTTGACAGGGGTCCACAGATAACCAAGATGCCGCGATTTACAGGTAACCCTGTTTTTAGACCTACCCTGCAGACTTCACCACTGTATGACCCTGTATGCCATACCCTGGGTATGGCGAAGTACAGTTTTCTCTGTACCTGACTCAAAACACCAAATCTGGATGTGCGATTTCAAACACAGACTGAGTACTGAATTGCGATTTACCAGGGACTGACAGAATTGAATTATGCGAACGAAATTGAAATTATGACTGATTCTAGTCTCGCCAAGCTTCAGCTATGTCAGCGCAGAATTCAAATTTGCATTATCACTGAGAACAGGATCCTAAATTCACCAATTCACTACACAATATAAATCGCAATACTGTAAAACAGTCACAGAGGAAAGATGAGTCAGGAAGGAGGTCAAACAGGGTTAGTAGAAGTCAAAGCACATAGGTAGGGGAAGTTGGATATGGCTGTCCCACAGTCTGAATTTCGATTTTCAACTATAAACAGAGAGACAGACCAAATTTCACTATTCTAAAAATAGCCCCGGAATCGCCACACATGGTAGAGTAAGGAACACACTTACTTCAGGGTCAAATCTGAGGAAGATACATGAAACTCTGGCTATGGTTGACTGGTCAACCCCATCTCGCCAGTTTCAGCTCCTGACAGTACCCAGTGTTCCCACGTATCAAATTGCCGAAACTTGGTGATCTAGTAGATTACCCAGAGGCGCTTCACCCCCAACTGACCGATTCAATGAATTTGGACTCCCAGGTGCCAATAACTGACAAACTCAGTGCAGTGCCACATCACCCTGTACTGCGCTGCTTGGAAATTGGGGATCCTGACCCAATTCCAAAATCGCAACCTCCTGGGATCACTTCCTTGCCAATCGCCAGCCTCCAGATGGATCGCCAGGCTAAAATTAGCCTCTCAGAGCCTCTCAGGCCTCTAAGCACCAATCGCCAACCACTCCTTCACAACCCTAGTCAGGAGTGAGTCACGCTTTGTCCAATTCTTCTTGCCACACACTCACTACCACCACCCTTACTGACAACAACCCTGAAGATGATGAATCGCCATGAGACTCAACTGCAGTATCTCGCCAGATGATGATGGTTGCTCCAACTCATCAATCGCTCCAGAGTCTGCATCCAATAGCTCTGATACCAACTGCTATGATTCTGGTTGTTTGTTGTCTGAGACCAACACTCGCACACATAGACTTCCAGGTATGCCCATACGTACGCAGAAGGAAGGGGAGAGGATAGGAGTGTCACACCGCACAGAGAGAGAGAAACACGGCGGAAGACTTGACCATGTAATATGACAGGGTACACTGAAAGCGCAATGCACTCCACTCACTCCTCACAACCAGTCATAAAGAAAAGCCGAGTAGATCACATCCAGGAAACAATGAAACAATGATAGTCCAAACCCAGTATTACACTGTCTATTAAACTCATCATCTCGAATTTTCAAGATAACCTCAATACTATAGTGCGCTGCTCAGAAATGAGCAGCGCTTTACTCTCCAACCCCGAGTAACCACCCTTGACACCCCTGAGCTCCTGAAACATCAAGCGCCACCCAGATACAGCCTCCACAGGGAAGCGCCACCCAGATACAGCCTCCACAGGGAAGCGCCACCCTGAAACAGGCCTCTGAGGCCAAGCACCACTCAGAGGATGAAGAAGAAGACCAGCACCATAGTATCTGATGATGATGAAGTGTCTGAAGACTTCCCGGATGGAAGTCTGCAGCAGCGCCACCAACTCCTGACAAGATGACCTCCGAGGAAGAAGCTGCTGCAGCGCCATAACCCTGGAATCCCACTCCGGAGGAGGGTCCAGCAGGGCACCAACTTCTCTCGCCTCCAGCAGACCTCCATAACCCAGACCTCTGACAGCCCCTACGTGCTGGCAGAGTACAGCGCAGGTCCCAGCTATGGTCGGCGCTCCGAAGGTCTGGCTATGCCTGTCTCCTTCCACGCTGAGCCGTCAGCACTTCCGGTTCATGCGTAGCGCAGCAGCGATGTACTCGGTACCAACTTCCAAAAGCCCTGAACCCATGTGCCCATCCTATCTATAGACTAAAACTAGCCTAGACTCAACCTAGACCGGACTGACTGACTGACTGGTACCGATTCCGTTTCAGCCTCTCGGCCTCTACCTTACCCGGCTATAGGCTATAGGACTGTCTATCAGCATAGGCTTGTAGGGCCTGTCTGTCTTAGGAGTAGCCCGGGCCTGCTATTCACAGTTAGGTTAGCTGTAGGAAATTCAGTTAGTACGGGCCTGTATTTTCCCGTATTTACAGATATGTCCCTCACGAATTTTCCTTACAGGCAGGTCACTCGGTTAGCCCTCAGCCAAACAAAATTACGAATATGTCCTACCTATAGTACAGCCTCGACAGAGAGAGGCTACAGGCGACCAGAAAACAGCAAGTCATTGCATCTGTGTTTCAGCAGTTATGCATTGGTCTCTGCACGTGACTCTTAGGGCTTGACTGCACTACTCAACGTGGAATAATACGCCACCATATGTTTTGTCTTTTGTGCATTTGGTGAGTAAAGGCCCTTAGGGCCACTGCACGTATTCCTAAGAAAAGAAAAACGAGAAAAGAAAAGAAAAGCGAGAAAACAGAGAAATGGTGACCCATAACCGACATGCACAGACCTGAATTTGAATCCAGACTATATATTCTCTGCCCACCCTCAGGGAGTACAAGTTTGAAGTGTACCTCTGCATGACGTCGGGTCCTAGCTAATATGCTGTAGGGATCCTTCTGAAAAGAGGCTGGACGCAACTAGGACATTTTTGTTTTTCTATTTTTTTAATGCGCCGCATCACTTGTGCGTGTGGCACCCCGCGCATGAGATGCGCTGCAAGTATGATTCGAACACATCTCTCTCTCTCTCTCTCTCTCTCTCACACACACACACACACACACACACACATACACACACACACACACAAAGGGGGGTCCGAAAGGGGGTCCGAAATCCCCCGACAGGTGAGTGCGCTGGGCCCGGCCCCCAACCGGGTGCCCTGCCCGGCCAGGCCGCCCGGGACCTCCCCCGGGCGGCTGCTGGTCACCCGGGCAGCCCGGATCCCCAATCAGAATTTTTTAAAATTTATGCATTGTTGTCCTTCGGGACATCCGTTAAAATTGGAACCATACAGAGAAGATTAGCATGGCCCCTGCGCAAGGATGCCATGCATAAATCGAGAAAAAGGTCCACAAAAAAAAAAAAAAAAAAAANAAAGAGCATTCAGGCAGTCCAAGACCTTGCCCAAGACCTTTCATGGACCCACTAAACTGTTCAATTTGCAATTTCGTCCTGGAGCTATCTAGAACCTTGCCTGGCCAGGGCAACCCACGTGGGCTGGCTGGTACCCTAGACCAGCACCACAAACGAGCCTTGCCCTCGAACGGAACTCGTTTTCATATGGGTGTAGCATTTCTATCTATGCAAATTCCACTAGGTGATGAACTGCCAGGAAAAAGGACTTACCAGAACACAAGCATCATACAACAGTACCAGAGCGTCTGTTAACTCCTCCACTACCAATTCAAACTGTCGTATAAAGATAAGAACCTGAGCAAAGATGCATGTACCCACCGGAAACAGCACACACAGAATTCACAGTTGTTTAGAGCATGTCCACAGCATGAGAGATCCATCAGCAGCTTCTCACAGAACTTTCAGAAAGTGGAGATTCAACATGGAGAACCACACTGGTAACACTTATTTTCCCCTTGTTGGAAAAGTCAATCCCTAACAGAGTCATAATAGTCGTATCCATCAGGACTTGGATACAGTCATCTATGTGAACACTGAACTTAATATTACTCTGCACAGATTGAGAATTTATCGGCGATCAACCAAACCACAGGACAAACAGAAAGCCCTCACCTCTAGCACCTTGCCACGTCTTTCATCAGCAAATAACCCATGCACTTTTAGTCGTTAATATCCAAGTTATTGCTGAGCAGATTTATGCGGCTCTTGAGATCCTAAGTTTTGCCTGTGTTTCGACTGATATATCTTTGAGAACGGTTTGTTTCTCTCATAAACATATTTCTATTCCCGTGTGGTTTTGCCTGCCTGAGCACTTGCCATATTCACCTGTCTATTCAGACTTTGATTTGGGCCCCAGAGGAGGACTTACCAAAAATGCTGACTTGGATGGTTAGCTCACCAAAAATCTGGCAACATCAGATTGGTAGGCCATAGGATCCTGTTGGGGGGTTAAGACCCGGGATGCTTACAGGAGGAAAGGGACTGGACTTGAGATCCATAAAGGGGATTTGTCTGTAATTTGGAAACCAACAGCGATAGGACTAAAACTTGGCCTAGCGTGTAGAACTATGCAGAAAAGCAGGCCAACAACGATCATTAGCTGAAATCGCAGATCGAGCAACTTGGGAGAGGCCCTGTGTACAATAGGCTTCGCAGTAGCACACGGAGCTGCCAATCTCAGTACCTCGGTCCTGTATCGTCAAGTTCACCACCGAAGGGTCTCGTACATGGCCAATCCAGTCCCAGGTAGTTTAGGGTCTCGTGGGGAATCAGTCTAGTGCAGCCCAAGTCTGTTTCAGCTTCAGGTAGTTAGGCCGCAGTAGGTCAAGGGTCCAGTCCAAGTCCACTTTAGGTAGTCTCAGTTAATCTTGTGACCCAGGGTCCCAGGAATGTAAGGGAATATTCCAAAAACGTCCAAGGCTGGCAGACAAGCCCACAGGCAACCATGTCTTGCGGGCCCCCAAGCCCCAGGGCTGGAAAGCTGAGTTGTCCCATTTAGTTCCTAGCTGTAGTGTATGATAGAGGTAGAGTAGACACACACACACACACACACACACACACACACACACACACAGAGAGAGAGAGAGAGAGAGAGAGAGAGAGAGAGAGAGAGAGAGAGATTGCATCAATGAATGTGAATGCACTTATAGAGAGGTGCATAAAATCGGGATTCTGCACTTCTCAACAAGCAGGTCCAAATCCGGGTGTGAAATACTCTCTCTGCAAGGGTCAGAGGCATCGGCATGGCTCCAGCAGGCCCTTTTGTGCCCGCCCTAAGTGAAGGCATTCCTCGAATTCTGACTCCGCCCGAAAGCAGCGGGGGCCCCAGGCCATTGGTGAAACGAAATGGGGCCCGCGGGTTGACTTAGGACGCAGGCCTTGGCCATGAGTTGGTTGAGCTTAAGAGAGGGCCATGTCTCTCTCTCTCTCTCTCTCTCTCTCTCTCTCTCTCTCTCTCTCTCTCTCTCTCACACACACACNTCTCTCTCTCTCTCTCTCTCTCTCTCTCTCTCTCTCTCTCTCACACACACACACACACACACACACACACACACACACACACACACACATACACAAAATCAGTTTTATGTCTGTCAGTCTTTTTCCTGTTGTCTGTCCTCCCTCATATTTTTCTAAGTATTTTTTGTGTGCCCCAAACTGAGCACCCTTGAGTAGTTCCAAACAGTCGGTGGCTCCTCGTATGGAGTGCCAACTGCACTCTTAGGGGGGGCGCTTGGTTCGGAATGTCTGGGTTGCCTCCAGGTGATGGCGGATGCTCGTCGGAGTGCCTTCCTGGCTCAGTGGGTGGTGGGAACCAACAGTCTGCGGGGTTCAATCGTGATGTGAGTAGGTCATGTGCTGCTTTGCTTGTGCACGGCCTCGTCTGCGCTACGCCGCTGCCCTTCTGCCTGTCCCGCTTGCTTCGCATGTGGTTCTTTGCAGGTTGATGTGTTTGCTGTGTGGTGTGGCCGTGTGGTTGGTGTTGCCTTGGGCTTCGCTGCTCCGCTGCCTTTCTGCCCTTCTGCTGGTTGTGCCTTCCGTGTTTGCTGCTTGCGGGCCTTGTTGGATGGTTGCCTTGTTGCTGATACCTTGTGCTTCGCTCCGCGGTTGCCGAGCTGCTGGTCCGCTCGCCCTGTCGTCCCTTGCAGTGTGGTGCCCTTGTTTGTGTTGTCTTGTGCTTCACTACACGGTTGCCGCGCTGCATGTCCTGCGTGCCATGTTGTTCCTTGCAGTTGTTTTTGGCATTGTGCAGCCGTGTTGCCTCTTCTGTGTTGCCTGGTGCTCCACAGGGTTGCCTGCCGCTGCTACGTTCTGCTTGTGGACAGTTTGCCTTCAACGAGGGTCAAAGGGTTCATGACCAAAACCATGAAATATGGAGATTCCGCAGATTGTCGAGGGTTCAGCCTCCTGATGAGTCGGTGCAACTCCGATGAAACAATCTTGTCATCACCGGGTTTTTTTTTTTTTTGGCCTTCACTGTTTTGGGGGACTCGTATACTTTTTGCTTTGCCTGCTTTCTGTGTTTGAGTGACGTCTGCCCTCCTGCCTCCATGCCCTCCACCCATTGTCTTTTGCTGCTGCCTGTTGTCTTGTGCTTGGGGTATCTTTCTGTACTTGCACTTTTCTTTTGTCTTTCTTGTTTTCTGCATTTATGTATGGTCTGCCCTCCCACCTCCCTCGTGCCCCCCAGTCCTTGTGCCTTTCTGCAGTTTGTTCTCGATGCCTCTTGCCTTATTCTGCTTCCTTTCCCCATCTTGTGGTGTCTGTTTGATCGTGTGTCCCAGTTCCCCCGCAAAGAGCAGTGGGAGCATGGATGCTCGTGTAGTCCTGCATAGTCATTCCCCACCTTACAATATATTATTTCGGAGTTGATTAGCCAGCTGTCCAGCAAGGAATATGAGTGGGAACGATATACAGAAAGCCAAGTTACAATCCTGGTCATTCCCAAAGTGTGAATTTGCAAGGAATATGAGTGGGAACGATATACAGAAAGGTTCCGAAGTCACACAGATGTCCGAGTAGTCGTGTACAAGCAGAGAGCACAAATGCACCAAGATTCCATCCAATAAGATCAATACAATTAAGTAATGAGCCAATGTTCAAGCCCTCAGGCCACACCAACACAGTATCCAAAGTCGCTCCTGTCTGTCTGGCGCTCAGCGCCCAGCCTACACTACTCGACTATCCTACCTACATCAGCATTCTCGCAACAGGCTCACTTCGACTCTCAAAGACCTCTGTACATAACGTCAACACCATAGTCGACCTCTTCCATGTACCAGGTATGTATCTCATCTCCCCTCATCAGACACTGTCCACCCACATTCGCCTCGTTCCTGAAGACCACCGATCGCCCTCTTACCCCCTAGCGCCCTGCAGCCCGTCTATGGCTGCTTGCGCTCCGCTGCCCGGCAGCGCCCCTCTTCACCACACACGCGCGCGCACGCGCTCCGGCCACAGCGCAACATGCAGCCTCTAACGCAGCAGCGCAGCAGCGTGACCGCATTGCCTGCATGGGCCAGAATACCTCGACCCTGGCTGCCCTCCTTCTTATATGGAAGTGGCAGCCTCTGCGTGGCCTGGCTGGAAGCTTCCAGTAGCTTCCGGTTGGGCCCCAGTGCCTGCGCCCAGGCCCAAGGCTACAGTTGAGGGTCTGCGCCCTTTACAGTTGGGCACGGCCTGAGTCTCGAGAATTGGGCCGTTTACTGCATTTGCACAGGAGCCGGGGTAGGTACGTCGACAGTGCTGCTTTTGCGTAGGGCTGTGGCCACTTCGTGATGTATCGGCCCTGCATTGTGTGTATGTGCCCAGGCGCAACTGCCAAGGCGCCAACTGTACGACACAGCTTAGGGAGGCTCACGCGTCCAATCAACCAACTGGCAGGCTGCAACAACCTGAGTACCCACATATGAAAATGTCAAATTTTGGCCTCTGGAGAATATTCAGGCCCGCCTTCACTTAGGGCGGGTACTTGGCTTGCTGGGAGCCTCCCAGAACATGTGCATGTCTGATAGGGGCCCCCCAAGGGCTCATTCCTCGCAATCCATCCCCCTTATAGCTTCGAAAGTCCGCTGAGATGCTTCATGCTGGTGCCTTCCTCTTCAATTTTCTTTCATACTTGGCCACCATCTGAGGAGCTGTCTTGACAAGTTCCTCCCTTGTAAACCATCGATCTTCCTTAGGATCAGTATGATACCTGAACCGTACTCTGTATTTTCTCACAGGTTTAGGAGGTCTACCCCTGCCAGCTGGCTTGGGAACACACGTCTCTGTGCTCCAGGGCAGCATAGATCGCCTTGATGGGAACTGTTTTGTCTCAACGAAAGGTGCAAGTTTTGAGGCGTGAAACACGTATGAGGGACCATCCAAATCACAATGTCTAAGACTTCCCAGGGACCGAAATACTGAGGCATTAGTTTTCTAGAGATGTCGAACTACTGTCCCAACTCACTAGCCTTGACCCAGACACGTTCCCCCACGTGAAATGTGGACTGTCGGCGATGCTTGTTCTCATAAGCAATCATTGCTTCCTGAGATTTCTTGATGTGCTCGACAGTCTGCTGCAACAACTTTTCATATTGGACACCAAATTCAATGCTTCCAGGAGTTGCAGCAGTTCGATTTTCATGCAGGTGGAAGTCTAGAGCAGATTTAGGCTTCCATCCCAAATGCAACTGATTAGGACTGATGCCGGTGGTGCTATGTACAGCATTATTGAGCAGACTGGCGACGAGAGGTAGTTTCTCATCCCAGTCATCCTGCCTGGACTTGATGTAGTGCCCCAACAGATGGTG